TGCAGTCTCTGTGGATGTAACAAGAGCACCTGCTTGTCCTATTTTGATGGATTCATTTCAATTGGTGAAGCCCGAGGATGTGGACAAGATACTTGGAGGAATGAGGCCGACCATGTCCATCCTAGACCCCTGCCCATCCTGGCTTCTAAAAGAGGCCAGAGGGGGATTGGCTGAGTGGGTGGAAGTGGTGGTTAATGCCTCCCTTCGGGAAGGCAAAATTCCAGCGAGCTTAAAACAAGCTATAATAAAACCGCTGTTGAAGAAACCATCACTGGACCCCACTAAATTTGACAACTTTCGGCCTGTTTCCAATCTCCCCTTTTTGGGCAAAGTCCTGGAAAGCATGGTGGCCTCACAACTCCAGGTATTCTTGAGAGACACGGATTATCTGGACCCGGCACAGTCTGGTTTCAGACCGGGGCATGGAACGGAGACAGTCTTGGTCGCCTTAGTGGATGATCTGCGCCGGGAGCTCGACAGGGGGAGTGTGTCCCTGTTGGTGCTTCTGGACCTCTCAGCGGCCTTCGATACCGTCGACCACGGTATCCTTCTGGGGCGCCTTGCGGAAATGGGTCTCGGAGGCACTGTTTTACAGTGGCTCCAGTCATTTCTGGAGGGTCGTTCCCAGAAGGTGTTATTGGGGGACACCTGTTCATCCCCACAACCTTTGTCTTGTGGGGTTCCTCAGGGTTCTATCCTGTCCCCCATGCTGTTTAACATCTACATGAAGCCGCTGGGTGAGATCATCCGGAGTTTCGGGGTACGGTGGGGGGGGGGGGGGGGGGGGGGGGGGGGGGGGGGGGGGGGGGGGGTGTCATCATCCGGAGTTTCGGGGTGCGGTGTCATCTGTCCGCAGATGATGTCCAACTCTGTCACTCCTTTCCACCTGCTACTAAGGAGGCTGTCGAGGTCCTGAACCGGTGCCTGGCTGCTGTGACGGTCTGGATGAGGGCGAACAAATTGAAGTTGAATCCAGACAAGACAGAGGTACTCCTGGTCAGTCGCAAGGCCGAACAGGGTATAGGGTTACAGCCTGTGTTGGATGGGGTCGCACTCCCCTGAAGACACAGGTTCGCAGCTTGGGTGTGACCCTGGATTCGTCGCTGAGCCTGGAGCCCCAGGTCTCGGCGGTGACCAGGGGAGCATTTGCACAGCTCAGGCTCGTGCGCCAGCTGCGCCCGTATCTTGGGAAGTCTGACTTGGCCACGGTGGTACACGCTCTTGTCACATCCCGCTTAGACTACTGCAACGCTCTCTACATGGGGCTGCCCCTGAAGACGGCCCGGAAGCTGCAACTAGTCCAACGCGCGGCAGCCATGATTCTAACAGGAGCAGAGCGCAGGGAGCACACAACCCCCCTGTTGCACCAGCTCCACTGGCTGCCGATTTGCTACCGGGCCCAATTCAAGGTGTTGGTACTGGCCTATAAAGCCCTAAACGGTTCCGGCCCAAGATACCTATCTGACCGCATCTCGGCCTATGAACCCACCCGGACTTTGAGATCTTCCGGGGAGGCCCTGCTCTCGATCCCGCCAGCCTCTCAAGCACGGTTGGCGGGGACGAGAGATAGGGCCTTCTCGGTGGTGGCTCCTCGGCTGTGGAACGCCCTTCCTGCAGATGTTAGGCTGGCACCATCTCTCATGACATTCCGTAGAAAGTTAAAGACCTGGATGTTTGTGCAGGCATTTGAGTAATTCAGTGCAATTCTGGTAATTTGAACATAGGAACGGAACAATGGACGATGAATTTGGATCACGTTTTGGATGACGAGGTGATCGGGGGTGGGTTTTTGTGATAACTGTGTATTGTTGTTGTTATTGCTAGTAATGGAATTGTGTAGTTTAACTGCTATGGTATATTGATTGCTGCTGTTTTTATTGTCTTTTGTTGTTTACTGTCTGGAAACCGCTGTGAGTCACCCTCGGGCTTGAGATACAGCGGTATACAAGAATAGTAAATAAATAAATAAATAAAATAGTTTAGCATTATTGAGAGCTCCTTAAAAACTTTAGATGAAACTCCAGAGTGGATCCACAGGTCCATCAATATGGGAGCCACCAGTATCTACTGGAAAGCAGTACCTGGGACAATGGAAAGTGATGTAACTGCAAGTTGTGCATCATAGAAGACTAAAGAAACCCTATGTGGATGCATAAAACACATAACAGTTTCATTATTAGGAGACTGTCCTAAACACATTTCATCTCATATGATTTTGGAAGATGAGCAGGGACAAATCTAGTCAGTATTTGACTGGGAAGTCAGAGATCTTGCTGGGCTAGGAAAAAATTCAGTCTGGAGGCTATTTCTAGCCAGTGATAGGCTAGAAGGATCAATGGTCTGACTTTGCATAAAGCATCTTCCACAAGTTTCTCATTATTAGGGGCTGGGCTTTAACACATCAGGTTAACTGCCAGCTGAAGTAAATCTTGCCAATCAAAAGGTTGACAGTTTGAAGTCCAAGTCGGGGTGAGCTCCTAGCCTTTAGCTCAGCTTCTGCCTACCTAACAGATCAAAAACAAAATGTGAGTAGATAAATAGGTACAGCTTTAAAGTGAGGATATATTTAAGGCACCCATAAGGAAATGCCAGAAAAATGCAGGCAATTCGATCAAGGAGAAAATTTACAAACAAAGCTTTTCATCTGGGAAGCTGGAGCGACAGCCCCCCCCCCCCCCTTGGCCAGAACTGAGCACAAGCCTCCAAAAGGCTGAAGATGGAAAAGCTTATATATATAACTCCATCTATGTAGAGTTGTCTGTCTTGTCAGTGTATAATGGCATTGAAAGTTTGCCGATATGTGTTCTGTGATCTACCCTGAGTCCCCTTTTAGGGTGAGAAGGGCAGAATATCAATACTGTAAATAAATAAATAAATAAATGTAAATAAATATTTATTCAGTCCAAATTAGTGGATTTTCTTGGTGAATCCCAGAGATAGATTTTTGGGGGGTGACAACTCTCAGAAATCTCAGCCAGCTCAGATGCTGTCTGAGTGACTCCTGAAGGTGTAATTAAAAATATAACATCCCAGATTGGATAGATTTATTAGTGTATGTCATGTTTAAGAGTTACCATGCTGATGAGGAATATTAAGATTGCAGCTGAAACCTGTAACATGTGAATAAAATAATAGAAGAATCAACCACATATTTAGAAAGAAAGAATTTCCCCAGAAAATTGTGAGTACTGGATTGACATTCTAAAATGTTTTGATATAACAGGCAAGCATGCTGACCTTTTTTTAAAAAAATATCTTTTGTTTCCTGCCACTGCATAAGCATAGAACAAGTGGCACATTGGCCAGCAAAAGGTGTGTAGAATGTTTATATAATGTATCTAGACTGCCTCAGTGGACTATAAAAGAACAGGACTTGTAACAGCAAATATATTCATTAACATGACACAGTTCACTGAAATTACAACAAACATCTTCTAGCTGTAATGCTTCCTTTAGTATTCATGAGTTGTCCACACCTCTGATTTTAATAATCCTTTCAACTAAGGCCCCTTCTACACTGCCATATAAAATCCAGAATATCTGATTTGAATTGGATTATATGGCTGTGTAGACTCATATAATCCAGTTCAAAGCAGAAAATATGCACTATCCATTTTGATAATTTGGATAATATAGCAGTCTTCAAGGAGAGAGAGTACATTGTTTATTGTTGTCATGCTCCTTCAACTCATTGTGAAAGTTCCCTGTCCATCTCTCAAAGTGTCTTCAAGTTAAAAAGAAGGATTGATTTTCAGGTGAATATTGCCCCAGGATCATGCTCAAAACCTTCCAACATTATCCAGAATCCTCATCCTTTATCGCTCCAAATGACAACAGAATATTTGGCATCTGAAATGGCAACAGGAAATGACATCACTTGTAGCTGTGGTGTAATGAAAAATAAACCACATGTAGTTCATGTTTGATCAGTCCACACACAGTCTTGCCAGAGAAAGAAAATATGCCACGCAGATGATCAATAAAGAACAAGTAGTTTACTCTTTGTAATTCAGAACAACATATTTACAATCATGTGATCGCTTGCATTGACTCACATAATGCCATTTTATGAGAGATATAAAATGGTCTTTCTTTGTCCATGTGGAGAATCTTCCTCCAGCAGCTCGTGAAGCAGGAGGACACTCCAAACTATCTCCCTCTGCTTCTCTGCAAGCACCTGCATAGCTCAAGCCTGAAAAATATAACAGTATCCAGAAGTCCAAGGCTCATCTATCTCCCCGGGTGTAGCCCAACCAATCAGCTTTGTGCATCTTATTTTACAGTTGACATACACATACACTAAGTGATTTCTTGCATACTCCAACAAGTATTGCCTCAGGATCATACTCAAAGCCTTCCAACATAATCCAGAACCTTCCCTTCATGTCAGATACCCAATTTCACTCCCAATGACAACAGAATATTTGGCATCAGAAATGGCAACAGAAAATGACATTGCTTGTAACTTAGGAAAAAATAAAATATTTTGGCATGCATTGAGTATAATAAGATCTGTGCGGTGGGTTAGGAAGAAATTGGCTCATACGTAGATGCCTACCCAGATATAAGGAAAAAAACCAAACAGATGGAAATAATAGACTACCATAAATCCAATGTTGGTCTTAACTATCTGTGGAAATCAACTTAGTTGATGTGGAAATAACTATCTGTGGAAATCAACTCTAAATCATTGCAGAAAGATATTCTAGATAGGAGTCACCACAATGGTTTCCTCATTTGTATAACTTTATTTGTTGTAAGTGAGAGGTGGATAATACAATCTGAAAGGCAATAATGGATAGAGTAACAATTTGCCAGCCAGAACAGAAAAGACCCTGGGTTAGATAGGGCAATGGATGAGATTTATTAAAGCAGCTTCTTTAGTGCTTGCTGAATCAGAAACTTTTTGTGCACTTCTTGATGTATCAAGAGAAAAGTAAGCAGTCGTGCTGGTGTTCTTGTACCTATAAGCATAACCAAGCTGCTCTCTGTTTTTGCAGACATGACTGAAGAACGGTTGGGTGATGTCAGCGGAGGAGACAGTGCTGAGACCTACAGTGATAAAGACGCAGACCAAAGGAGTTCCCCAGATGTGACAAAGGCCAAGAGCAGTTTTGCCCCTGAGAGCCCTGAAATTGTTTCTGTCGATGAGGTTGGTTATGCTGTCCAGAAAAACAGTGGGAGTGCTGACAGCAGACCCGAGAGCCCCAAGTACCAATCAGAACAAAACCACCTTTTGATTGAAGGTCCATCTGGGACTGTTTCTCTGCCTTTTGGCTTGAAAGCTAACCGGCCACCCCTTGAGGTGTTGAAAAAGATTTTCCCAAACCAAAAGCCAACGGTGCTTGAACTGATCCTGAAAGGCTGCGGAGGTGACCTGGTGGGTGCAGTAGAAGTGCTTCTGTCCAGCAGGTCCTCCATTGCAGGGGGAGACAGAACTGCCGAGTCAGATGGTCTGGTTTTGCCTTCAAACGGGCACCTCTTTGAACACACCCTCAGTTCGTATCCCATTTCTTCCTCAAAGTGGTCTGTGGGGTCTGCTTTTCGAGTCCCAGACACACTGAGGTTTTCTGCTGATACTAGTAATGTTGTGCCAAACCCTCTGGCTGTGCCCTTACAGCACCCATTTCCACAACCACCCAGATATCCACTGATGCTGAGGAATACTTTGGCAAGAAACCAGTCCAGTCCATTTCTGCCCAATGATGTTACTTTGTGGAACACCATGACTCTCCAGCAACAGTACCAATTGAGGTCCCAGTATGTCAGTCCTTTCTCAGCTAATTCTACCAGTGTCTTCCGAAGTTCTCCCGTCCTTCCAACACGTCCTTCAGAGGATCCTAGGATCTCCATCCCAGATGACGGATGTCCAATTGTCTCAAAACAGCCTATTTATGCAGAAGATGATTATGATGAAAGATCCGATTCCTCAGACTCCAGAATATTAAACACATCTTCCTAGAATAACAATTTACAATGATATTTTGAAGCACGGTAGAAATACCAGCCATCAAGAGGAAGGAATCAGGACCCCTTGAATTGTATAAAAAAGTGACTCTGCTTGCTACTATCTCCTAGCAATAAAAACATAACTTATTTGTTTTCTTGCACTTCACTGGAAAATGCCAAATAGCTACTACTTCATGGCTTTAGTACTGAATGTTTGTTACAAAAGTAAAAGGAAAAAAATGTTGAATTTTAAGCATACGTGTGACAAAGACTGTGGAACATTTAAAATGGAACAGATAAATCTTGCCTTTTAGACAACTGGGAATGTTGATATTTTACTTGAACGCAGTGTTCAAAGAGAGGACTCCTCAGGATATAGATATGTACAAAGCAAATAATTTAGTGGCAACTGGACTAAGCAGGGACCTTAGTGTCTTTATGACCAGAATCATAACGGCAGTACAACCACAAAAGACTAAAAATGAACTATCCACATGCTGTTCAAGCTTGGACATTTTGGAGACACCTCAACCGCTATTCTTTTCATAGAGCTAAATGGAAACATGTATAGTGTCAATGTAAAGCCAGTTACAGCTGTTGAGTTGCATGAAAATGTCTTGTGAAAAATGTTCACACGTTTAAACATTGTCAGGTTAATGTAGCATGCTAAGCACTTGAGGGAGGGGGGAATAAACTCAGATGCTGATCTTGATTCTCACGTCATTTCTATTTGGACTCTCCTTGGGAATGTGGTTGCTAGAAAGATCATGATGAGTGCACATACTCCAGAATTTATCATAACATCACTACTGATGGCGTCAAAAGAACATTGAAGAAATGTGGTGCAGAAGTATTGGGTTTTAGGATGGCGAAGAATATCTTATGAATAGAATAGCATGTAAATGGGCTTGGTTTTAGTGGCAATCTGGAATCAGGACAGTTTTCCTGAACCGAGGTTTAGGCCCTTTAGGTGTGAACTTAACAAATGGTTTGTAGAGTCAGGTATTTCAAAAATGGAAACATTCTGTGTTGTGGATTGGTAATATTGAGAGCAGTGGAAAAATTATTTATTTATTTCTGGTATTTATATCCCTTCTCTTCTCTACCCCCGAAGGATGGGTTACATTGGCAGCAATTCGATGCCGTTACATATGCACAATTAAATACAATAGCCATTAAAACAGGAAGACCACATTCCAGATAGGGAAGCAATGGCTCTGAGTCTGTAAAACCTGAGCAGGGCTATTGGGGATAGAATGACTTGGAAGCATCTCATTCATGGGGTCACCATAAGTCTAAGCTGATTTGATGGCAGTTAACAAACAACCACAAAAATATTTTATATTAGCTGGGATTATAATACGATCTGTTGCCCCAGCACAGCTTCCCCATTCTTTCTGAGTTTAGTTGCAATGCTCATAAGTAGTTGGAGTAAAAAATTATGAGTGGTTCCTGTTGCAATGAAAATATTTTTGAATGGCTTGTGCTGAATTGGCAACGATGACTCATTATCTTTACAAAAGAGCCCCTAGTGGCACAATGGGTTAAACCCTTGTGTCGGCAGGACTGCTAACCAAAAGGTTGGTGGTTCAAATCCGGGGAGCGGGGTGAGCTCCCATCTGTGAGCTCCAGCTTCTCATGCGAGGACTTGAGAGAAGCCTCCCACAGGATGGTAACACATCTGGGCATCCCCTGCGCAATGTTTCTGCAGATGGCCAATTCTCTCACACCAGAAGCGACTTGCAGTTTCTCAAGTGGTTCCTGACACGAAAAAAAGCTTTACAAAAAAAATATCTATGTACTATGGAAATGAAAACAACAAGAACTGGCTGATCAGGATCAACAAATCTTCCTGCATTTTTGGACTCTCCTTGGGAATGTGGTTGCTAGAAAGATCATGATGAGTGCACATATTCCAGAATTTATCATAACATCACTACTGATGGGGTCAAAAGAACATTGAAGAAATGTGGTGCAGAAGTATTGGGTTTTAGGATGGCGAAGAATATCTTATCTGGGGAATGATTCTGCACTAAGGCAACCAATTATCTTGATGACTTTTAGTACTTTTTTTGCAGCCATTCATGGGTTCTAAGGGCTGCCTCATATGTGTCTGAATTCATAAACTGTATAATTATTTTCTAGTGGGACTCTTCTCTGAAAGTATTTCTCACTCTTCCTGCCATATCACTGAATGTTCTGTTAAGACATCATAAAAAATAATCTACCAAGACATATTTATGCTGGTTAAAAATGGTCTGGGGAAAAGGGCTAATATTTGAACCATAAGCCCAAAACTGGAGGTGACAAAAAGTCCAATTGTAGTGTGTGGGAGGGTGCATATACATGAGGAGACTGCTGGTTTCAGTATTAGCTTGTTTTGCTCTTGTCATGTTTCAGATCTTTATGAACTACCCATAGAAGAAAGCTTGTGGCTCTGTAAGTGTAGAATTTTCTCTAGAGCTTAGTCTAAACTTCAAGAAGTGGTCCAAGGTGCTGGATCAGTAAAGTTTGGATCAGAACCTGGATCCACTGGTTCACTAACATCAGAACCATCAGCCTTCATAGGTCACTCTTCACCTGGAGTTGTTTAGGGGTAGAGGCTGCCAATCAACAAGAGTAAAATTCACAAAAAGATATTGTTTTCACTATGCCCTGCCTTTGGGTTCTCCAGCAACAACACTTCATTGGTGCTTTGATATTATTGGGCCTGTTTCAGGAAAGTGTTACTTTTGAGCCTTGACAACAGCTGTGACATTTTTATTCACTTGGACTAAATCCAAGTGTTTATATTGTCCGCTAGTAAAGCACAAGCCTAAAACATGTCAGATTTATTTAATTTATTTCCAACTTTTCTCTGGGCAGAGGATACAACTGTTTTAAAACACAGGGCAACATGGAAAAATTGTGAATGCAAATGTTAAAACAGCACAAAAAGTTTTAAACACATTTAAAACAGAACTCCTCGCCTCTCCAGTAAAAGCTCTGCCTGCTTCAACAAGTTAAAAACAAAAGATCTGCTGGTGGAAGAAGAGGAGGGAGAGGGTAAACCAGACCTCGAGCAGAAGGGGCTTAAATAGATAAGGAGATCTCTTCCCATGTCGTCCCGAATGTGCCTCTGATAATAGCTGGACTCAGAGAAAGCATTTTCCTAAAGATCTTTAAGCTTGGATGGGCACATACAAATGCGTCACCAGACTCTTACCAGAAAAAGCTGAAGAGGCAATGCTACTAGAGCAGTAGTTCTCAACCTGTGGGTCCCCAGATGTTTTGGCCTTCAACTCCTGCTCCTTGGAACTGCTGACCTGCTGACCTATCGGATAGCAGTCCTGCTGGCACAAGGGTTTAACTCAGTGGTTCTCAATCTGTGGGTCCCCAGATGTTTTGGCCTTCAACGCCCAGAAATCCTAACAGCTGGTAAACTGGGTGGGATTTCTAGGAGTTGTAGGCCAAAACACCTGGGGACCCACAGGTTCAGAACCACTATACTAGAGACTCTGCCACTGTTTCATTACTGTTATACAGAGGAAGCAAAACCCAAATTGCAGTGATTAAAACAGAGATTAAAACTAGTACACTTTAAATGCAGATACCAGGAATACTTTCTAAAATTAATTTTTATATATATATATATATATATATATATATATATATATATATATATATTTGTATAATTTGAATTTTAAACCTGAGAGTCAGTGTGGTGCAGTGGTCTGAGCACTGGACTAAGACTCTGGAGACCAGATTTTGAAACCCTGGTCAACCATAGAAACCCATTGAGTGAAGTCACATTCTCTGGACGTCAGAGGAAAGCAAAGGTAAACCCCCTCTAAACAAATTTTGTTGAGAAAACCCAGCGAGAGGTTTGCGTTTTGGTCACTGTAAGGCAGAAATAACATGACAGAAATAACATCTCTTTAAATCTTCATAAACTGCCATGAGTTCTGGACTGGGAATAACATGGAGTATACATAAGTAAATAAAATAACAACAGTCATGACTATATGGTATGATGGTGGTGGTGGTAGTTATCTAAGGACTTTCCCTTATGACTCAAGGCTAGTTTAGTGCAACCATTATGTTATTGAAGCAAAGAGAGACATTGACTTTCACACTCCCTCTTCATTAATTATTTGATACCATTATGTTTACTATGTTTTGAATTACTGGAGTTCTGCACAACATTTCTGACCCTGCCTTTGGAAGAACACCAGTACTGTGTGATAAGTTCCCCTAGCACTTTAAGTTCGCCTCCTAAAATTATCATATAAAGCCATATGTCAGAAAGTATGCATCTAGAACAAAAACTAACAGTATCCTTTCACTTAAAAATATCTCTTTCCAAAATATAGAATACATATAAACCTTCTGCACTGATAAGCTCACAAGTTATTTCCAGAAACTGGTAGATCTAAAACAATCTAAATTAATCAGTGACGCAATGGGTTAAACCCTTGTGCTGGCAGGACTGAAGACCGACAGGTTGGAGGTTCGAATCCAGGAAGAGCATGGATGAGCTCCCTCTCTCAGCTCCAGCTCCCCATTCGGGGACATGAAAGAAGCCTCCCACAAGGATGGTAAAACATTAAAAAAACCAGGTGTCCCCTGGGCAACATCCTTGCAGACGGCCAATTCTCTCACACCAGAAGCGATTTGCAGTTTCTCAAGTCGCTCCTGACATGACAAAAAAATCTAAATTAATACATGGCAGTCCTTCCACCTAATTGATAGAATAGGGTATTGTTTAGAATTAATTTATAATAGTGAGTGTATGAAAATATCTCTGGTCAAGAAAAGTGAGTCTTGTCTTCATAATGGATTTCTATATTGGTTTACTGTTAAAGAGCAATATAACATGTGATATTCTCTTTTAGTAATATATGATGAGTCAAACACACTTTAAAGATGGGAAAAGTCATAGTCAATTCAGATATTCTATAATGCATTGTGCTCAGAACAATTCACAAAAACAATATAAATCTCCTAATTATAGTTATCAGTATATAAATTCGGTGACACTTCATTCTAAGCATCAGGTTACTCAAAGCAGTTGTCCATATCAAATAACTGGAGTATTGTTACTGGTCATGATGAAATATCATGGTAAATAGTATGTTGTTTTACACACCCAAAATTAAACCACAAAAATACAATATAACTCTGTTAGTGAATTGTGAAGATGTTAATCTGGCCATTAGTAAAAATGTTCTTATACTAACTGGGCACTTCTGATGAATCTTGGGCCCCTCTGATGCTAACTGGGCACTTCTGA